ACTGAGCGCCCCCAAGAACAACCGTGCGCTGAACACAATGGTGAGATGGCATGTATGGCCTACCGATGCAACACTCTCCAACTCTGCCAAAGGACCTTTGGGAAAAAGCCCCCTTCATCCCTGTCCGATACTATAATTATAATACGGAGCCCCCCACAGAGGTAGTTCTTGTGCTCTAAGGCCTGGCAAAGGGTTGAGGCCTTAGGGTTAAGGGTTCTATTGGGTTACTATAAGTATTAGGGTGCCAAGGGTTTAGGGTTTAGGGCTCTACCAAGGCCTGGCTGTAGGTTTAAGGGAGCAACTTGATCAGCGGATCCCAGGCAAAAGTCCGGAATTCCAAACACTACCAGCAGCTTTGTGCCCCAGCAGCAGCACAAATACCGAAAGCCCACAACCCCCAAACCCCCTACAATCGAAGGGGGTCCCAAACCCGATACCATGTCCTACAGTCCCAAAGTTAAACTCTAAACCCTACACCCTAAACCCTAAACCCTATATGCACCTGAAGTTCCGGCATGATGTTGATCTCGCTCCAGCGCTGGCCTGCCGTGTCTCTTCGTTTCGCACAAGGCTTGGGCTAGCCACTTGAAATTCGAGGGTTTAGGTTGGGTACTGCCCCCATACAGTAACAGTCTATAATAGGGCTACTATTAAGGGCCCTATATATCTCTATTATGAATATTATCCAATTGTTACTGAGTGGGGGCAGTATCCAAGGGTTTAGGGCTTTCAAGGTCTACCTAGACCCCCCGCCACTACCCCGCATTGTGCCCTAAATAACCACAATTAAGGAAGGGCTCTATCAAACGACACTTGGAAGGTTCGGGCAGGGTTTGGGGTTTCGGGTTCAGGGTGGATAGCTGCAGCTTGAACCCACTAAGTGTACCTACTTTTCTACAACAGTTCCTAACCATAACACTCGGTACCCCCCAAAAGGGGTAAACCCCCTAAACCCTGAACCCCTGAAACCCTAACCTAAACCCCCTAAACCCTAAACCCCCTAACCCCCTGGACCCTAAACTCCCTAAACCCCCTAAACCCTAAACCCCCTAGACCCTAAACCCCCTAGACCCTAAACTCCCTAAACCCCCCTTAACCCTAAACTCCCTAAACCCTAAACTCCCAAGACCCCCTAGACCCTAAACTCCCTAAGCCCTAAACCTCCTAAAACCCGAACCCTGCAGGACTGAACCCCAGCCATGGGGCAGATCCGGGGTTGGCGTTTTCAAGGCCTTTCAAAAATCCCTTAAGGAAGGAAAATATACCTTTTGGGGTTTTCTTAAAGGGATCTATACGGGCTTCTATAAGGGCACTACAAGAATCCAGGCCTACACCTTAAATCAACGTTTCGGGGTGTCGGGTTTGGAATGTGGAAAGGGACTTGGTCAGGTACGAAAACGATTCCGAAACACTTCGTCGACAGGTTGTCTGCTGAACGAAAAGAGGCCATGCGAAGAGTGGAGGGCTCGCGGCTCAGGTTCGAACCAGCGTGTTCGAAAGTGTGCTATGCGTCTCTTTGGAATGCTAGATCCAATCGTAGTCCTAGTCTCTTCGAGATCGCAGGCCTAGGAATGACTCCTAGCCATCCTCGAATCGACCTTCTTGCGTGGATCTCCAATCCAATAAATCCTTGCCTCAACCTGCCTGAACACTGGATCCCGGACAGCGCCAAGTCACGGCAAATTGCGTAAAGAACCCGAAACTTACACTCAGAATGAACAAGCAGGGTTTCAGGGCTTGGGAGTCACTGTTTCCGCTTAGTGAGAAGTAGAAGTTCAGAACAACACCGTTACATAGGGGCCTTAATAGTTAGAACAGGGTTTCGGGGGCTCATTATACTATAAGTATAATAAAGAATCCTCCAAAATAAAATATAAACAAAAATGATCATAAAGGAACCCCCCCCTCCCCAAATTACTATAGGTACAAATACATAAGGCCCCTATAATACTATACTACAGTTATAATAAAGAACCCCCCAAAATAGTATAGGTCACTGTTAAGGCCCCTATATATTAACACCCTGCACCGGACTCAGCGCCGGCCCGGCCTAGCTCCCGGGAAAGCCGGTTGAAGCTCGCCGCGAAGGCGTCCCTGCAAATGTGGGTTTAGGGTTTAGGGCTTT